TTTTCAGAAATTTGGATGTAACAGAAAATAAGTCCGAATGCTAAATTGTTGTAAACAATGTAGTGTCTGAATTCTTTTGCCTTCTGAGTGGAGAAAATTATTTTTCTTTTTTGTGTGTAGTCAAATGTTAATTTGAATAGTGGAGGTGGGAAAAAAGTTCGGACATTTCCCTTTTTTAAAAGAGATGATTGTGGAAAGAGTTCCTGATTGTCCCTGAAGGCAGCAAAGGTAAGCCCTGCCCTCCTAGCCGGCTGCTGTAGCGGTGCGTTCATGCGACTTTTTCCGGAGTGTTTGAAAGTTGTCAACAGAGAAGCAGAAGAAGGAGCAGGAGATCAGCGGCTTTAACGGGACTGCGGAGCTCGGAGGAGGAGGAATGGGCTGCACTCAGAGCAAGGTGAGACACACGGCCAGGAGACACTCGCGGACCCCGCCGGCACAGCTCTGCTTTGTCTTCTGTTTTTCTGCCGCCGGAGGTTCATTAACAGGCGGTCGGCGGCGGCGAGACGTGCCGGGAATGAGCGGCGGGGAGCGGACTGTATGTCCGCGGCACAGGCATCGTCTTTACCCAAGTTTAACCGAGTCACAAACACGGCGACAAGTGGAGATTTGGCGCTAAAATGTGGGGAAAACAGCGTTTTCCTCGTCCTGAACATCTGTTTCTAATCTTGAGTTTGAGTTTTCCCACGATGCTCCTTTCTAAGAAGTGACCTCAGACACATTCATTTAGAAACTTCTCTGAAATCCTCCAGTGTGCAGATAAAGTGAGTTTATTTACGAGCTTAAAGCAGCTTTTAGCACCAAAACGTTCTGCAGTGAGCTCGACTTCCCTCTGTAAGCCTCACTCAGCTGAGAGGTTTGATTTAAAAGGAGAAGTTATCATCAGTTTAAACCAGCTGTGCTCACGGGCCACAAACGGTGGCTCAATCCAGCACAAACCAGAGCACAAAATGCTAAAAACACCTTTCTGCTCATGGTTTTATCGCTGCACTCTGATAGAACTGCTCTGCATCACTCACAGTTCAATTTAATGCTTATTTATCACTCCCTGGGCCTCTGAATTCATCCTTTCTTCTGATTGGCTGCCCCTCCTAAGCAAAAAGTTTGAAGAGTTGGACTAATGTGCCTGAGATGACCACATTGGTCATAAGATGATACTTCTTACAGGAAATGGCAGTGAAAACTCCAAACATTGTTCCGTCTTTCTTTGCAGAACCCTTGTTCGGGTCGTGTCGGACTCTCGGTCGGGATGTTTCTGAGTTTGCGGCTGCAGTTTTTACACTTTCTGAGCTGTCGACCTGTTCACCTCCATGTGCGGCTCAGCTGTTGGTGCTTCATACGTCTCTGCTCTGTGTGTGAATCTGCGGAGTTCGCCCGTCTTGTGGCTGTAATTCTGCCCCACTCAGGGGTAAAAGTGAAGTTTGTCATCTGTTGTCTTCCACTGGTTATTGATAGAAAGTGACAGCGCCACTAAAACTTCACACAGTGCCCGAAAGGAGGTCCGGGGCCTCTTGTTGTCCCGCCGGCTTGGACTTTGATATCACTGAAGCTGAATCCTCTCTGATCCTTTCAGCGAGCAGGTTGCAGCATTTTTCTGAAACTGAGAGAAAGTTTATCAGCATTTTGCTTTCTGCAGAGATTCAGAGAAAAAGGTTTCCAGCTCCGTACTTTTGATTTTGGACTGTGTTAGAGTAACTTTGCACAATTTAAAGTTACCCTTATTTATCCTATACTGGCCCATAATGCATCCTTTACCCGAAGCAAGATGTTTTAGCTCCTCCCCTTTAAGGCTTGACTCAATTTATGTGGCACAATGATCTTAACTGCTAATTCTGAGATGGGACATGCACATTTTTTTTGTCACATGTCACATATGCCCGTCTTTTATTTACAGTCTGTGCTCATGTCCACCTACAATCGTAGAAACGCCGACACTTTTTATAGCATCGAGTAATCAACAGGAAATGTGATGACATCATATATTTCCCAAACTTCATGTGGTATCTGCTAATGTGGGGACCACCGGACCGCCCCAGCTGCTGTTGGACAGTACAGATGTTTTGGCTTTATCTACCTTTGCATTTTGTGTTTAGTGTGACTGATTGACCAGCTGAGACATTTAGACTTTTCCATCCGATTGATCCGGCTAATGGAGCTCCTGGTATCGACGAGCTGCAGCTGAAGCCTTCGGTTGGAGCTTCAGAGTGATAACGCTGAAGTTGATGGATAATTTGATGTTGATCCTGGTTTAAATACCTGCCTCGGGCACATTGCTCCATCGCAGAGGCGGCTGAAGATGCTGTTGCATAACACAAAGCCGAGTAAATCTTTGATTAGCTCAGAATAGAAAGAGGCGTGTCAGAGAGGCTCGGAGCCTGAGGAGGAAATCCACACTCACACTGACGGCTTTAATAGCATTTCAGATTAAAGTAGACTTATTTACACTGCTGCTCAAATACCACCTTCCCCACTAACATCCACAATGATTTATGAATGATTCCTATAACTGTTGTCAGTCGCAACATTTCTGCTTATTTTAATATTTTTTTAAATAAAAATGAAATGGATTTTCTATCAGCAGTTAAAATTGTGAACACACACAGCAAAATCTCCAGTGTTAAATTAACACTAGAGAGCGTCTATATGGGTCCACACCTCTGAGTGTTAAATACAACACTGAGTTTTAAATTAACTTTAAAAGTAACCTAGTCAGTTTTGAAGATTAACAATGGCTAACACTGAGCAGTGCTGATTTTCTAACACTGGAAAATAACTCAAAATGTTAGAAATATTCCAGTGTTAGAAAATCAGCACTGCTCAGTGTTAGCCATTGTTAATCTTCAAAATTGACTAGGTTACTTTTAAACATATAACACTGACAAAAGTGTTAATTTAACACTCAACAGTGTTGTATTTAACACTCAGAGGAGTGGACCCATATAGACACTCTCTAGTGTTAATTTAACACTGGAGATTTTGCTGTGCAGTTTGGGATTGAAATCTCTTTAAGCCTGCTGACGCGTCCACACAGCGATATGGAAACTAAAAATCGTAGCTGCAAACCCCTTTGAAACCCTACACTGTAACACAATGCTGTGCAGTGACTGCGATTGGTCCATTTGGTCCCATCGTTTCCTCCTGTTTCCTCCTTCTTTACTGCTGCCGCCATTTTTCAAATGGACTGGAAGGGAACGGCCGGTGGTGACATTGCAGAGTCACTGCGGTATCTGTGCTCGCTGTGCTGAAGGCTGTATACAGAATCACTTGTGTGACTGGCAACAGTGCCGTCCCGTGCTAGTTCACGGCTAAAACAGGTGAAATGTGATTAAACTAACCTTTAATTTGTATCGGTAATTACATAATGTGACACCATATGTGTACAGCGTAAAAAGCCAACATGATTTGATGATTGAAGAATGTGATTAATGTAGACTGCAGGCTCTTACATAAACACAGTACGTACGGACCTTATTTAACCTCGTCTGTTTTCTTTCTTATTGAAATGAGAGCGCCGTATTGATAAAGTTATGGAAATAACTGTGAATAAACTGTTAAGGACGTCCATGTAGGAAGCATTTCGCTCAGTGAGCATTGCGTTGTTGCTCACAATTTTATGCTAGCAACCAGTGAGCTTTCCAGGGTGTGGTTGTCTAGGTAACCGTGCATTTACTGCTCTGTCACGTGTAAATCAGCAGTATTCTTCACTCATTGGTGTCAGCTGCGTGCCTCACAGTGGGCAAACTTAGGACCGCCCAACTGCTTTATGTTGCTGAACGTCACCGACTCTCTACGGTCTTTGGTCACCATGTCACTGCTCTTCACTGGACGCCTCTTTAGCACGACTGGTATCAGTCTGGTACGACTGTTAAGTTAACAGATTTGGAGTCATTCTTCTTTTTAAAATGAAAACATGCCAAACATCTGAGAATGTAAACTAGATTTATAAGTAAAATAAGTTAAGTTAGTTAGTTGCTCCTTTCTCTGCTCTGTCTCGCTGCGTGTGCACCTCCTCACACACGGAGTGGAGCAGCCAGAGGAGATGTTTCTAAAGACGTTGGATACAAAGTAACCACTGAGCCTTTTAATCGACTCGTTGTAGCCTCGGACACAGAGAAGAGATCTGATGCATGTAAAGGTGGCTGATTAAACCAGAGTGCTTCTGCCTGACAACAGTAAAGTTGAATGTGTTTATTGGTTTGTGATGGGTGGTGGAGGGAAACAGCTGAAAGGACATTTTTCTGGACCTTTGAGCTTGTTGATCAGGTGATTTTGATTATTTATTTATTTATTTATTTTCTTTGACCTGTAAAGGTTTTTATAACAGTAATGAGTGCCGCTCCTCGCTGTGGGTCAGAGAGGCTTCTCAGACTGAATCTTATAAAATCTTTAATCCTAAACACGCGTGAAGGCCTCGTGGTGAATCCACAGCTGTGATTGTTGGGAACATGTCAGTAGCTGTTGCAGCTCTATTCAAATATATTCAAACCTCTGACTATTAACGCCGCTCGTGTTGCTGCTCTGCTCGCGTGCAGTTTGTTTCTCACCTTTGGTCTTCTCGTTCGCACCCATCCAGTTGTTTCTACCAACAGATGGTGTGGCGGTTCTCAGAGGTTACAGTTTTCCACCGTCTGGACTCCAGACAGAGCAGACGGTCTGTTTTAAAGATGACAGGAGAAGAGTAACGTGGGTGGAGGAAGATGTTTTGGAAATAAGAGTTGGCAGGACTCGAAGCTTAAAACTCGAATACCTGAACGCACTTCTGCTTGTTCGGTTTCTGCTCCCCCTCTGTGTAACCTCTGTGCAGTAAAACTATCAGTTCACCACATGAGTTAAAATAACAGGAACTAATGAATACTGATGAATTCAGCTTTGAACCACTGGTAAAAATGTCAGAAGGAACAACAAATATCTGGATTCTGTTTTTATCTACACAGAATTTAAACATCTTTTTCCCAGAAAACCCCACAAAATAAACCGTTATAAGTGATCTAAAAAGAATTTTGTGAAGTTATGAAATACTCTGGCTGTGTCTTAATTGGATGAGTTGTTGTCACTTCTGTCTCTCAAAACAGATGCTGCGCTTTAGTAGCGTGTTATCGCGGTGCTCTGTAAGAAAAAGCCGATAGAGGGCAGTATGTACGGGAAGTAGTAAACAAAGTATAACTAGTAAACTGTTCAGGAGTACTTTGAGGTGTGGGGTCCAGGTTTTAGGAGGCACCTCTGAACTCCTCTCCCTGTTTCTAAACTACGCCAACCGCCAGAGGAAGTTGATGTCATCTGCTTTCATCCACAACCTCATTCTCCTGGTTACTACCAGTGACATCAAACCTGCATCACTGCTAACACTGCAACCACCTGCCGCTCCACCTCTCGCTGTGTGAGCAGGAGCAGCTCCATCCTGACCTCCAGCTGATTTATCTTTTAAATGGAGACCTTTCATCTGCTCTCACTTGTTCTAAGCACACACCACGCTACACCGCCACGTGGTGATGAAAGTTTACCCAGAATGCACTTTTTAAAGTTTGCTCCAGTGATTTATCAGAGATCAGATCAAACACCCTGCTCTGATGGATCCTTCGTGCTGATGCTCAGAGTCGGTGTCAAAAAACAGAAACCAGGTTTAGTGTTTAGAGTGGACGTGAACCTGGTTTTAGCAGAGCTTAAATGTGTTCTAGTCTTATAAATATCATGTAGGCTTCTTTAGTCTCAGGGAGGCTAAACAAAAAAGCTTTAAAAAGTGTGAAACTTTGAAAGTCTTCACAGCGAGAAGGTAAAGTTTTGCTCGGCTTCACTGAATAAACTAAAATTCTTTTTTTAGAAAACAGCTGATTCTGAGGATGTCCGGTGGGATTGTTCATGGCACAGAGACCATTTCAGCATTTCATCGTTTACTCGCTCGGCTGTTCAGTTGCTGCAGTTTAACCCAAACTTGTTAATCAGTGTTTTTTCCTCGCGGTGGAGGTTTCGGGAGCAGAGTCTGGTCTCTGCTCCGTGAAACCAGGCGTCTGTTTCTCTGCAGGCAGGTTTTTCTCCGAGGTGAAGTGTTGTTTAAACACAGGAGAGGAATCTCGCTTCTGATTTATGGCCATTTTAAAAAGTGAGGGCCTCCACAACGCCTGCAGGAACATATGCTTCTCCTCACCACCACCTTCCTCCTCCTCCTCAGGTTGAGTCCACGTCGATGTGTTTGAGCCAGAGATATTTATTGTTTCTGCTCTGAGTTTAAATAAAGAGGGTGTCCAGTTTGCAGAGCAGAGTTTGAAGTGTTTATATAGCGTGTGCGTGTGTGTGTGTGTGCGTGTGTGTGTGCGTGTGTGTTTGTGTTAGGGCGTGATTGTTTGGCCTCAGTGTTTGAGCAATAAGATGGTGTGAGGCAATACAGTAAGCATTTCAGTGTGTGTTTGGATACACGCCTAACTTATGCAAGAGTTTGTTTGTGTGTGTGTGTTGCTGGGATTGAACAATGCTGGTTAAGTAATGAGTTGCGTGTATCCTGATCGATATTTTTCTTTCTTTAATGGGATAAACGAGTTTTCGGCGTTCCTTTTTTTTCCTCTCGCTGAAGTGATGCTGGCTTCCTGTGAGCTGCTGAAAGATTTACGGCGGTTTACGTTGACAGATCCAGTGATGACTGTCATACAGATGCTGCGGGAAAACAGGGGTTCAGTATTTGCACACAGATGCTTCAAAACAGGGAAAGTCTTTTTAATGGACCTTAAGAAAAAAAACAAGGATTTACAGCCAGATTGTGAAGGCACACATGCACCTTCACCTGCAGGTGACTGTATCCACAGTTCATGCTGGACGTGATGTCACAGCGTGTCTTCCTTCCATCACCACTGGGTCGTGGCAGATGGCCGCCCCTCCCTTCTGCCAGAGTATTCTTCCTGTTGTAAGGGAGTTTTTCCTTCCCGCTGTCACCAAAACGCTTGGTCAGGGCGGACGTCTGATTGTTGGGGCTTTCTCTGTTTCTCTGTATTATTGTAGAGTCTTTACCTCACGGTATAAAGCGCCCTAAGGCAGCTGTTGTGAATTGAATTTCTCAAGTTGCGTGTTTCTGCGATCGCCATCCAAAAACCAAATGTGATTGCGAAGGCTGGCTCTGACTGTTAGCTAATGACTGGTGATGAGTACTTGGTGTTCCATACCACAGATAATCTTGTATTTTGAAACGGGTTTAAACAAGATTTACAAAACATCTTTTTTTTTTTTTAAATTCAGTATGACTCGAAACGAGTGACGGAGTCCGTAAACTCAGCAGGGGCGTGTTTACAGAGTCTGTCGCCATCTGGTGGCCATCAGATAAAAAGCATGTTTAAGTCACTTCTACGCTGGCTTCTTTTTTCCCATCTAGAAGCAACATCTGTTTTTTTTATTTTTTATTTATTACATCTTTGCTCCTCTCGCTGTAAACCCAGACTCACTTGGCCCCACCGCCACTCTCCCTCTGAAGCCCCTCCCACAACCTTCCTGCACCCCAGCCTGGCTCTCAAAGCTCTCCTCTTGTATGGAGGGAGACATTGAAATTAGAATAATAACTTGAAGTTTAGTAGTAATAATAATGGGCAGAAGAACAGCTAGAAGCTTGTCAGTGTAATTATTCCATAGTCAGAACATGCGTTTATCTATTTTATATCAGCTTATGTCTTGTTGGATTAAGCTCTACTTCAGTTATCTTAAGTGCGTAATAAAAGCCTTTATTGTCCTCTCATGGTTTCATACTTCAGAGGGTAGAACAGTCAAACTGGTTTAAGTTAGATTATGTTCTTTTTAAGAAGTTTTTAAGAAGGCTTTCAGTAAATCACTTGATCCTTTTGTTTGTCTGCTCCGCCTTTTCCAGGTGCAGCTGCAGGTTTTTACATTAAAAGCACTTCATTCGTGTTAATGTTGAATCGTTTGTTATATTTTTGTAGCTCCTCACCCAACACCTTGTCAAAATCTGAAGTCTTTTTAATCTTTCTTTTGGGATTCAGACCTGCCCCAGGTGGTGGATCGTCTCTGTGCAGGCCCCGAGCGGCTGCAGGTCGTTTGGTTTTCAGCAGCAGGAACAGCCGTCTGTTGTCCTGCAGCAGCTGAAGTTATGTAACACACAAAGAAAAGAGGGAAAGTTTCAGCGCCAGTCATGTGGACACTAACGAGACGCTTTCATAACAAACTCCCTGCTCCAGTTAGTTACCTGGAGCCGGACCAGGACTCGGTCAGATCGTAACACTTCACTTCATGTCTAATTATTATGGGATGTTATCAAAGCTCATCTCTGGACAGGTGGTAGTGTACATCAAAAGCTCAAACCTTCCCTGACTCGGGTTTCTTTAAACTCAAAGTGTTTCAGATCTTCCTTTCTCATGAGTTGCTCAGCATTTCTCTTCCACCTCACCATCATGTGGTCAGAGGCGTTCACACCAGTGACCTGCTGGAGGTCATTTTGTAGCTCTGGCGGTGCTCATCCTGTTGCTCCTCGCACAAAGGAGACATGAGCCCTGCTGATGGGTTTAGGACCTTCTGCCGCCCTGTTCAGCTCCCAGAGTAACTGCCCGTCTCCAGGAGTCTCCTCCACGCTCCTGAGACTGTGCTGGGAGGCACACCTGTTAATGACATGTGGAGATGGACTACCTGTGTAACCCCTGCAGGGTCCAGGTATCGCCTCATGCTATCAGTAGCTACACTGACACTTCCCAAATGCAAAACTAGGGGAAAAGAAGTCATACAATGTTAGCTGGGAGAAGATGTGAGTGGGCTCCAGCGGTGAAATCATTCCTGTTTTGGGGGTTCCCGTTCTTGTCCGTCTAGTGCAGCTGAAACTGCTACTTAAGTCAGTATCCCAGAGGTTTGATGCCATTCTCTGATTATTTTTAATAATACATGTTCATTAAGAGGAATTTGAACCTCTGTTTATTTACTGCAACGTCTCCTTTTTGTCTTATCAGAAGAAAAGCAAAGGCAAGAAAGGAGAGAAGACTCAGAAGGCGAACATCCGCCAGGATGATGAAGGTGAGTATATTTTGTGCTGCAGACTGTGGTTTCCTCTTCACTCTTCTTTCGCTTCCTGTTTGCTTCTCTTGTTTTTCTGAACCTAATGTCATGAGAATCAGTCTGACTGATGATGAGAGGTTTCACTTTCACTCTGCTGTAATGCGGCTGTGGTTGCGTAGAGTCATACTTCATATTTTAGTAGTACAGAGACTCCTTTTTTTCTGAGGAAAAAGGCCCGACCTCTTCCTCTCTGAGTGATGTCACAGAATTGTTTCTATAGAAGTTCTCGTTTCTGTTTTTGGTGGATAAATGCATGTGTGATAATTACAGCGTGTTCTTCTCCGTAAATGGGCTGGTATTTAGATGGTGACACAGATTTTTGTAATTCTGCTTCTGTACACTTCCAGTGAAAATAAGCAGCTGATATATGACTGGTTTCATCCTCTTTTTCTCTAAAATAAATAAATAAATAAATAAATAAGGTTCGCTTAGAAAGAGACTGAGGAACTTGGTCATTCGGGAGGAGGTCAGAGTAGATCCCATGCTCACCTGTACTGCGCGGTGTTTTGGGCTTGTCCCCAGGGCACAGCCAGGACACTCCTGGAACGGGAAAACCTTCGAGTCACCTCAGAACTTGCTGGAAAAGAGCTCTGACCATTTCATACAGAACAAACTGCCATCTTAGTTCATGCTAAGGCTTTTTTAAATGAGCCATCAAGCTGCCAGGCGCTGCAGACGAAAATGAGCCTGTGTGCAGATAAATCTGTTGCATGACAGACGAAAGAAGTCATGCTTCCTGGCCTTTCCTAAATAAACAGAAACTGAAGTGACCTCATCATCAGAACGTTACAGGTGTCTGTTCACACCTGTTAGGACACCTTTATCTCCCTCTAACACAACACGTCTTACAGTTTTACCTGTTCAGGTCTTTTAACCTGACAGTTTAAAGGTCGAATGCTAACGGAGCCTTTAGCATAGCATTGATTTTATGCTACTGTGTTTCTTTTTCCTTATTTGGGTCGAAGGTTTAGGCTAGTTCTGTTTATGCAGGACAGATGTCTCCACCTCAGACACATCCATCAGTTGGAGCAGATTATTAACATTTTTCTTGCTTTCGCTGCCTCGTAGCCGGACACTTAGCCTGTTAGTCTTAGCCTCGCGTTTATTTTATGTAAGCGTTATTTTACGCTTCAGTAACAGGGAATCTAAACATGCTTGTCACCAATGAAAAAAACATCCATAAAACAAGTTTATGGATGTTTTTATTTTATTTTATATAAGAGTTTTCAAAAAGTTCTCTTTAAACCCGGACTTATTGTCAGTCATCTATTTTCTTCCATTTATCCAGTTCAGGGTTCAGGGAGATCCCAGCGGTCATAGGGCAAGAAGTTGGGTACACCCTGGAGTACATTGCAGATCAGCAGTGAGAATTTATCTGATAGCACTTTTAACGCAGAGTTCAGAGGGCTAAACAACAATTTAAAGTAAATTAAAAAGAAGAAAAGTCATTCACAAATTTAAAATACTTACATGGACAAAAGAGTACATCAAATTAAATTAAAAACAATCCGCTAGTAAAGAAAAAACCCCAAAATAAATAGAATAAAGACAGTTCGCCCAATATATTCGCCAATATTAAGTCTTGCCGTATCAGTTTTAATAATGGCTGATGAATGAAAATGAAAAATGTAAGTAGAGACTCTAGAGACACCCTTCAAACCTGTTACAAGTGATGCTGCATAGTTTGCCCACCGGAGGGCGCTGTGCAACTTCCCAGCTGGTAACTCTTGTTTGGAGCAAACAACAACCAGCTGGTTGGAGTAAACAAGTAATCCACAATTTCTTTAAACTGCATTACCATTTTATATTAAGGGCTTACAAATGATTACACATAACAAATATGTTTATGCTAAATATTGGCCCATATATCTGACTTTGAATGAGTTAAATATTATTGGTACTGGCCTTAAAAATCCTGCATCGGTCAGCCAGATAAAATGTCACAAAAAAGGCAGAATCATCTTAAATAGAATCAAATCCATAGAAATGGATGTAATAATGCAGTAACAGGAAAAAAGTGACCTTTTTAACAGAAAAATGAAATTAATCTACGTCAAATAACAAAGCTCGACTTATTCATTATTCTTGTTTTAGGTTTATTAAATATTTTTATGTTATTAATGAAAAGATTTAAAACTATGAAATGGAATAAAACTACAGAGTTTAACATGATGTAGTGCCATATGTCCCATGTTTCAGTTCAGCTCCGACCTGTTTGCGCCTGAATTTGGCTTTACTCAGCCAAATCACGTGACGATCCTATGAAAACAGACAATATTCACATTTTTACGAGCTCCAGTTTCCCAGCAGTGACAAACGAGCTCTGAACGATCATCCTCACACTGATTTTATCAGAGTGACTGAATGAAGCAGCTGCTTTGAAGGTTTGACTCACCGCTGACGCTCGCTGCACCCTCATTTCCTCCTGTTTACGAGCCGCTCGTTTAAACTGCAGCGATGGAGGAAGACGTGTCATCATCCTGTGAATCACTAGCTGGAAGTTCACCTTAAAAACAGCATATTTGCACATTTATTCATTCATTCATTCATTTATTCATGTTTTTTTTTTTTGTTGAAAATTGCACTGTTTCAGCTCTCTGAGTTTTAGTTTAAATCTTCTCTTCCTCTCATGTTAAATTGTCTCCACGTGGATTTTAAAGCTTTAAAAATGCGACTTTATTGCTCTGAACTCCGTCGGGTCTCATTTTTCTGTGTTTACATGCTGCTGCAGGACCTTGTGAATAAACTCAAATCAAAGTAAAGCTGGTCTTTGTCTAAACATCAGACAGGCTCCGACCTGTTTGCGCCTGAATTTGAACTGGGATTATTAGAAAAATACAGATATTAAGTAAGGCCTGAAAGCCCCGCTGGCTCCTGGTATTAAAATATGTGGCAGCTTGTTTTTGACTGTTTTGTTAATGATAACCTTCGTTGTGTTTGTGACAGCTGAAATGTGATCGGGTTTATCCAAACTGAAGACGTCACTGAAACTGAATGAACAGATCGTGTGTCTGCACGTCCGTGCTGTAATCAACGGGTTGAAATAAGAACTGCAGTGAGAAACACTTCCTGCATACAGGTGTGATTCATGACCGTGTGTTCTTGCAAGGATGAACTTCAGCTTTAGACCTTGAGAGAACATTTTTTCATGATTCCCACGGTCATTAAAAAGTATGAAATTAAAGTCAAGAAAAGTGAAGTTTAGAAGGCCTGAAAAACGTTACAATATTTTTCATAAAAACAAATTTGCAAAGTGCTTCACAACTTCAGTAACACATTAACAAACAGGACATACAAACTATGAACTTAGTGTGGCTTCTCCAACGCAGATTCTGATTATTCGTAAGGAGGTTGATAGGTAAAAATAGTAGAAACGAAAAAAAATTTCTTTAGTCTTTCTATTGAAATATTTTTTTTAATATAAAACTCATCATAAAAGCTGGGAAAATGCTGTCACGGCAGCCAAAACATTAGTCAACCTATAATGCCTGTAGTTCCGCTCTCTGCCTGAAGAGGGCGGTGTGTTTTTAGTTCCACTCTCTACCTGAACATGGTGTGTCTGTAGTTCCACTCTCTGCCTGAAGAGGGCGGTGTGCTTCATCTACTACTTTGCGTTTGTGTGGGAGCCCCGTCAAAACCCTGTCCATTAAGCTAGCAGTGTCCAAGCATTCTTTTTTTCTTTTTTTTTCTTTTCATACCGCGCCCCCCTGCAATGACTGCACTCCCCCCCTCCCTAGGGGGCGGGCCCCACACTTTGGGAACCTCTGCTCTAAAGCATGTTTGTAACTTAAGGTCATGTTTTTGTGTCGGTTGGCAGGTAAACGTGCGTCAGGTGAGCCGGACGTCTGTCTGGAGAAGCAGTTGGAGCGGTTTGAGTGGCAGCTGAGGATTTTAAGGGAGGCCAATGGGAACCCAGAGAGGGTGGAGTTACTGAAAGACCATGGTGATGAAGAACTGTGTGGCCTCGTACTGAGCATCCTCGATAAGGTGAGATGTTCTTCTGATTACTGACCTGATTATCTGGAATCACTGATTTTCGTTGTTGATTGAAAATAAACAGTGTTCTCTGTTTTGGGTTTTTTTTGTTTTTTTTTTACCATCCAGAAATTAACAGCCGAAGAGGTTTTTCAGTGAGTAGGAACTCTTAGGTACAGCAGGTAGTACTGTCATCTGCATACAGAGTGATACTGAATATGGTGCTTATGAAATATAGACTCGAAGTGTTGTGATGCTGAAAATAATGAGGACCAAAAATAGTGCCTTGAGGGATGCCATCTTTAATAAGGTGGCATCCCTCAAGAACACGTTTCTGTGTTCAGCCAAAGAAGATTTTAAAAAAGAAGAAAACTAGTGAATAGACTTTTTAAAAAGATGTCAGTGATTAAAAGAGCACAGAAACCAGTCAAGTTTCTTTGTAAAACACAGCAGGTTTTTGGGACTTCATGTGTCCTGTTTTATTGACGCCTGCCCTCCAACTGTCTCATTATTTTCCTCTTTATTAAACTGAATCTGTCCTGACTTCCAGGTGAAAACGGAGACGACGGCCGATTTGAACATCCTGCATGAACAGAAGAGTAAATCTGCTACTGAGGAGCACGAGAGGCACGTGGAAGGTAATGCACAGCAGACGGCTGGAGAGTCAACACTTATATCTGCTGTATTTGTTTAACGAGTTGTGATTATGGGACCACAGACTTCCCCTCCTGCAGAGAGACCCCCAGGATCAAAGAAGCGGGAAATGACTAAGAAGCAGACTGGATTCTCATTTCTTTTGTCACCCTGAAGTCATTTTTAGTCTCCTTTTGGTCATTTTATGTGTCTTTGTGGTTGTTTTTGTCTCTTTTTTCTTGTCTAATTAGAATATCTGTTATAGATAAAAGAACCCGACAAACACAAGTGAAGCCACTTTTAAAAAGTAATCCTGTATGAGTCTTGTTAGATGTTAAAAACATTTCGCCAAACTTCTTAGCTATGGTCTACATGTGCCTGTTTGAGGTCATGTGATGCTGGGACTATAAACCGAGTTTGTGTTGTTTCCTGCAGAGCTGCAGAGGAGAAACGAGCACGAGAAAAATCAACTGACAGAAAAGTTTCAGGCGGCTGAAAACGTTCTCAAGGTAAACGTGGAAACGACGAGCAGTGTTTTTGTGTCTGTTAATACAGTCTGAAAATCAGCCGAGAATGTAAATGAAATTCTGTATTTAACGACTAGATTTAATTTCATTCTTGATTTATCTCACAAAGTCTGCGTTTCCTGTTTGTGTGTGAGTAATTTTGTTTTGTTTTACCCATTAATTATTAAGTGTTAGTGAAGCTCTTATAACGGTCTACATTTTAAAAGATATGGTTCCCACAGTTGATGCACTTGGTAAAAGCGGTAATTGTAATTTCAAGTATTTGTAGCTGATGAAAAGAACAAATATGTGAAGTAACGGTGAGAGCGGAGATCGTTTGTATGATACAGACCTCAGTTTCACTAATTCGAGCTTAAAGTTAAAGACATAGCCTGTATATAAAAGATTCCATGTTTGTCTGTATATATTAGACTCTGTGTTTGGAAGCCTCGGTATGAGCTTAGCTTTTAGTGCTAAGTCATCAAATAACGTCAGTTAGCTTGGTTATTAAACTGCATAAACTGTATGGGAGAACCACACAGGCACCTGCTAATGGCAATGAGCTGAATGAGTGTTTTTATTTGATTTTTTTAAAACACTGAATCCAGTTTGTTCTAGGGGGAAAAAAGAGAAACAGCAGTAAATTACAACAGTAATAATCTGTTTAATAATTCTGGTGATCCTTTTAAATTGTGTGAATTTGAGGCTTCAAAGGTTTTGCATGGACATATTTGAGTATATTTTGCCCCTTCTGGGACTGAAGGTATTGAATTAGTTTCTGTAAGCAGCAGTGTTAAACATACCTGCAGAAACCCTCGGAGAACTCCAGTAGGGGGCGCTGTTCTGGATGTTAGCGTGTTGATGTTCCATGTATTCAGTAACCAGGAAGAAGCTGAATTAAGTGTTTTTGTTTTGTTTTTGCAGGCTAAAGTGGACGAGCTGAAGGCAGAGCTGCAGGTTTACAACGAGCTGAAGAGACGAGTCGAAGAATCGATGTTTAAGAAGGACCTGCAGAGGAATATACAGGTGTGTGTGTGTGTGTGTTTACATAAAATTAAAGTTAAACTTGTGTTTGAAGTTAAATCAATTTAAACCACCTGTAACTACAATATTAAAACTCTTTAATATCCTGTTTAGGCTCACGGGAGCCCAGGTGCATTCTGGGAGTCTGAGCAGGAGTCCCTGGTGTTTGTGATTGAGATGAAGAGTGAGCGCGTGCAGGAGCAGAACAGGAAGCTGCAGCAGATGGACACGCTGGTACGTGATGATGTTTAAAGAGTTTCTGCAGGCGTGAAGCTTTTACGTCACCTGTCCGTACAATGACGCCGAAGCTGATGTGGGCGTGATGAAGCTACAGACACCAGATACATGCTGAGTGTTAGAGCGAGCTGTGTTTCATGGGAAATGATCTGAGTTTTCTCAGATGTGCAGGACCTGCTCTTCTTTTTTTATTGTCAGCTATAGTTTTTGTATCCGTTCAGAAGGTTTTATACAAAATATATAATAGCAGCTGAAAGCTGCAGGCTTTAGAGAGGCCTGTGGATATCAGAGAAAACCATTTACCTTAAATCTTTAAGTTCTAGACCCATGCTGTTTAAAAACAACTCTGAATAATTAATTAATGCACCTCCTCAGTAAGATAATCGGTAAATGAGCTTTTTAAAATCCTGAGTCCAGAGTTTGCAGAGAAAATGCAAAAAAACTTTGTTAGTACAAAGACATCTCTTTGTAGTAACTGTGATGTTACAAGACTTTAAAAGTTTGACTTCATGTGCTGAACACTGCAGAAAACCTGAACTTTGACCTCAAACTCCATTTCATTCCTGTTCAGTTACATTTAATGTCTTTACGTTTCCTTGTGTTTGTGGGGCTCGTTCTTTCCGCGACGTTCTTCGTCTTCATGCTCGTCTCATGATTTTCAGGTGGAGAAGAATTTGGCTTTGGAGGACCAGATCGTTCACACCATGCAGCAGAACGAGGACCTGAGGGTCCGGATAGACAACTGCCAGACTCTCATTCAGTACGTGCCTGAATATTTAATAGAGTGAAGAAAGCAGAGCAGAGGCATGAGTGTGCTGCCACCTGCTGGACGGAACATCTTCCTGCAGGAGCGCTTCAGTCAAAATGGGCTGGTGTTAGAACAGTTTAATATAAGGAGGTGCATTTTTTGAAGCTAAAGGAGCAACACATTTTGATTTAGTGATAGTAACTGATCTAACTTCAGATTCAACCCTCAGAAAAACCTCATTAAGATTAGAGAAGAGTAATTTCTTATAAAACCAGACAAACCTGAGCAAAGTTCCCACCTGACCCTCTCAGAATCAGCTGATCTCTGTTTACATTAACTTTACTTTATGCTGAAGTACTGCAGGTTTCAGCTTTCAGAGCTACGAAATGTGTTTACATCCACTCCAAGTGTCACAAGCTAAAGAAGATTTGTTCTAAAAACAACTTTGAGCACCAGTTTAAAATCTGTGAGGCAGAGCAGCCGAAACAAATCAGTATCCTTGGATCAGTGCAGTCTGTTGCTCCGTTTTCTAGGAAACATAAAGACGTAACAGAGGTCCCCAACCACCTTGTCCTTTCTCAAATAATTTTCCCTTTCTTCCTGTTCTCAGGCAGCTATCAAAGGAGCAGCAAGACCTGAAGGTGGCGCTGGAGAGGCAGGTAGCATCCAACCAGAAGCTTTCTCAGGAAAAAGAGCAGCTGATGTTCAAGCTGAGACACAGGGACTCAAGCCCGCCCATCCACCTGCCCACCGTGATGCCGGAGGTCACGCCAAGATGACCGACTGAGAGTCTGACCCTGGATCTTTTTCCGACTAGCAGCCCGTCTGGTTTCATTAACTGAGCAAAAGAGTCAAACAGCAAGAGTGGCCAACCCTCCGAGTTCACGTTAGAGACTCTGGAGCTCTGACTCTGCCTACATTAATGCTGATCAACGAGAACATCAGTTTCACTGCAGCCAGCGGATCTTCTGCAGTCGATGAGGTTTACTGAACAACTCTGGATCCTCTGAGATCACAGAAAGCTTTGAGGGTTTACCGCTGTATGCACAAACTGTTTGGAGCCAGAGAGACATGTTTATTTTTGTTTTTCTGGCATTTTCTAATGACGATCATCGGTTTGATGGCGGTTTAAATGCTACAGAAAGCATGAAACTGAGATACTAGGAACAGAGTTTTATTTTATTGCAGAGCAAAAACGGACTGATGAGCGTGGCAGCACAGAAATGCTCGTTCTGTCCGTAACATCACGTTATCAGTTAACTTCACTCCACTACTTGACTCAATCTTGAGTTCAAGTCCAAGAACTCCTGGTGGCGCCATAAAACCTGCATCATATGCTGCGATGCTTCGTCAGGTGTGCCTTTTCAGGTCTAGGCCTTCAGCTATTAATGACTTTCCTTTTTGAATTAAACCTTCAGCCCATTATCAGTCTAGAATTTATTTCATAAATTACATCCAATAACAGGCAATTTTCGTGTGACAAAAGCCATAAAACTTGACTAATTTGGTTTCTTTTGCTGACTAACTGTTACTCCAGTCACTGTATCCGTAGGTATTACGGTTCTGGAAATTCCAAATGCCAATGCCAAAGTGCCTCCCATCAGGACGCCGAAGTGCTGATCAAAGATCTCATGAGCGTCTTTGCTGAAGTTGGAGCCTTGCTGAGTTGAACAGTATTTGATGCACGTGAAGTAGCTGAAGGTTCAAACGTATTAAACTTTCTCCAAGGACTCTGCTGGGAACCAAGTTTGTTGATGGTACCAGAAAGTCTGAGACCTCTGAGGTTTCAAGGGTTGTAACAAAGGCCTGTTTTACTTGGATGGTTTATGCATTTGATGAGCTTCCTGAGGATCCTCAAGAAAAAATATGACTATAGTACTTGATAGCTTTCCAGTTTATTAGTGTTTTAGCGTTTACCTTTGTGCCTTTTCTAACTGCAGGGACTGTTTTTCCACTTCTTTTATTTCCAACTTGCTCCTTTCACTAATAGTCCACAAAATTTAAAAACAAACAGGGATATCTCTAGAAACAACAGACCTGCTGGCTCTGTCTGGAATTATTTTTTTCTTTTCACGTAAATCACCCCAGTTTCTACTGGTAACTTTCGGCTGTGGGTTATTTTTCACGAGGTAGTATTTTATAACACCAGTAGTAAACATAAAAGTGAGCAGAGGTTTAAACCCTGAAAGGACTAGTACAGTTATCGATGTAGGGTGGAGCAATGGAAATAGAAAGGTAAATACTGACACCAGTTCACACCTACCCTGTGCTGGAACAGTGCTTAGTGCTTTGTAGGGAAGTCTTTCAGGTTTTTCTCTCATTACAAACTTCTGCTTGAAGGTTCAGATCTTTATTTTTTTTATTTTTTTTTACTGTAGTTGGTTCTCTCAGTTCTTTCCAAGCACTTCTATTTTTTTTGATGTTCAATTGAGATCACACTTTTCATTGTACAGCATCAGTAATTGAGTATTTAGGAGCCAAAAAACAAACTGCATTAAAGGTTATTAAAGCATTAAATGGGCTTTCAGATCAACAGCCATAGTTTTATTCGTTAAAAAAAAAAATTACACGCTATATATGGCACACTAACAATATCTCATGCTATTGTCTTTTGGTTGGAAAGCGTTGCAATAATATTAAGATATGTTAGCTGAATGTTAAAACCTAGCACCAGAGCTTCAGTGAACACCTCTGTAAGAGCTATCAGTGCTGGTTGTTATTGTCAATTAGGGATTAGCAGTAAATTATTAGCATGTTAGTCGTGTGTTTACCCGTTAGTATATTAATATCCCCAGGAAAAAAGGTACATGTCAGAGTGCTAGCACACAATACTTAATAAAACACACATTCATATCTTAACCTTAGCAAGCAGAATGGTTTAAAGGGTGAGGTTTTTTTTTTTCTTGTTTTTTTTTTTTTCAACCAACTGTTGGTTCAAAACTACATTAACAGGGATGCTAACAGTTAGAAAATATCTGGCGCGAGGTCGCACCAGACTCTGCTCTATTAGTCCGTGAGCTATTGTGGCAGGTAGGCTAACTGCTAACATGTTGGCTGGCTCCAGTAATTAGCTGTGTAGGCTTAGCCAGATTGTTCTGGTTGTGTTCATAATATATTAGAGTGAGCATGGTTATCATGTTCTTGATATATTTACTGCTTTTATATAACCATTTTATCATGTGTATTTGTTAAAGCAGTTTAACCACAGAACATCAGTACTTTTCCTTTCTACATCTCTTTGTTAGTCAGTTAATCTATCCTTTTAGCTGTGTTATCTAACTGGTAATATGCAAGCTAGCCACAGTAGCTCACAAATATTAGCAGACAGGCTGTTTGGGTGTTTATTGTTTTAAGTTATTCAGTGATGTGATGTAAACATTGAGCTAAATTCTGCGACCACTTAAAATAGTTATCTAAATCACATAAATCTGAAGTGTCCTTTTCCATGCATCTTTGTGAAGCTGTTAGTCATTTAGCAGACAACGAAATGCTAACATGCTGGCATCCGCCATTTTGCAGGATTCCTAAAATGTCTATTTCAGTAACAGGCACATTTAAAGCTTGAAAAGTTTAATTTTCACAAGTAAATACTTAAGAACAGTCACAGAAATCTAATCACTGCATACAGTCTTTGTTGATGATAGTTGATGAATTTTTTTTTCCTTTGTAAGATTTGAAAAATATTGTTATCTTGTCTTTTTTTTTTTTTTTTTTTTTTTTTTTTGCATGATGTAAGTTTGTATTGCCAAAAAACAATGTCAGTGTTGTTACAGCTCTGTATTTTGCACCAGCACTTTGACCGCTATTTTTACCAGGCATTTATAGAGATTTACATATTGTACAGTTTAGATTTTTTTCTTCTTCTCTTTCCTACATATAAAGAAAAAAAGTAGTATGTCTTTTTGCAGTCAAATGGAAGTCAAGCGGTTTGCTTTCACAGCGTGATGTAAATACACTCAAATGTTTTCTTTGTTTTGTTTTTGACTTGTTGAAATAAAAATCTGTAACTGAGTTTGACTGCTGTTAATAATTTCATCTGAGATTACATTTTTACTTACATTTGGATTTGATCAAGATGTAATATCGTACAGAGAATGAAAATACTTTAAAAAACAGTTTGTATGTAATGTTAAACTCCCTAATAAACTTAAAGATAAAGTATAAATTCCTAATCTTAAATATTAAGAAGAAAATGGGCAGCGACAAATATTGATTGTATTTGTTCTAAGGACATTTTTATCTCTGACCATTATTGTATTCTTTTTAACATGTCTTTTCATGAGCCTATGTCTCCTGTTCACCGGACAATTATGTCGCGCATTATAAATTCCTCCACAGCGCAGAAGTTCTCAGATGCTTTTAATTTAACACTATCCCCACAAAACGGTGTTGATTTCTCAACAGATCTATTTAATGATCATTGTCTTTCGATCTTAGATGAAATCTGTCCGGTTAAAATGAGACCTGTGCCTGTTTCCAAGTCCCTACCTTGGCTAAATGATAACATCCGCTCTATAAAACGTAATTGTCGTAAAGCTGAGCGGTTATGGAGGGAAACTCATTTAAATGTTCATCTCCTTTATTTAAAGGATCTTTTAGCCTCTTTTAACAATGCTATTAGAGATGCAAGGGCTGCTTACTTTTCTCAGTTGGTTGCAAAGAGCAGAGGTAATCCTAAGGTCTTATTTGATACTATTACTGATATCATTACTCCTGCTCCACCTGCTGCCATTATTTCTTCTGCTGAAGACTGTGAAACATTTCTTGCTTTCTTTTTAGAAAAGATTAGCAATATAAGGAAAAAATTGTCCCCATCAGCATCTGCACTGTCAGTTCCTACGCCAGTTCGGCCTGTTGTTTTAGAAAGATTTTTACCTGTTTCACTAGCCGAACTAGGAAAAATAGTTAGTGCAACAAAAGTATCCTCTTGTTCACTCGACATTTTACCCGCATCGTTATTCAAAAATGTCTTTTACTCTATTGGTCCCTGTATGCTCACTATAATTAACACCTCTTTGGGATCTGGCAAAGTTCCTGCCTATTTTAAAACTGCTGTTATATACCCTCTGTTAAAAAAGCCTATGCTGGACCCATCTCTCACTAGCAACTACAGACCGATCTCAAAAATACCGTTAATTGCTAAGATTTTAGAGAAGATTGTGGCTAAGCAGCTTACAGCAGTCTTAGACAAATATAACATCTTTGATAAATTTCAGTCTGGCTTTCGTAAAGCTCATTCTACTGAAACAGCCCTTCTTAGAGTTTCTAATGACATTCTGATGCAAAACGATGCGGGTAAGTGTTCTGTTCTCTTAATGTTGGATCTCACGTCGGCCTTTGACACCGTTGACCATTATATTTTGCTTGATAGGCTGAAATACTGGGTCGGGGTATCTGGGTCTGCCTTAGAGTGGTTCCCCTCGTATCTCTGTGAACGATACTCTTCTGTGGCAGTTTCTAAGTACAGGTCATCTTCTACGTCCCTGTCCTTTGGTGTGCCACAAGGCTCTGTGCTGGGGCCATTATTGTTTTTAATTTATTTACTTCCTCTCCAGCATATTTTGAGCCCTTTTGAGGATATTTGTTACCACTGCTACGCAGACGACATCCAACTATATATATCTTTTAAACCTGAAGATGCTTCTAAACTGCGAATTTTAAATGTGTATTTGGAAACCATCAAAGGTTGGATGGCCGACAATTTCCTCCAACTAAATGAAAATAAAACTGAAGTCCTGTTATGTGCTCCAGACAGACATGTACCCAGCATAATGAATGCTCTTCGTCCCCTTTCAACGTTTGTGAAACCAGCTATCAGGAACCTAGGGATAACCTTCGATCCTGCTCTTACATTGGATACTCACGTCAAATCTCTGGTTCGGTCTTGCTTTTATCATTTAAGAAATATTTCTAAATTGAGCCCCATAATAGCTCATACTGAACTGGAGATTGTTATTCATGATCATCACGACTGGACTATTGCAATTCACTGTTTACATGTCTAAACAAGAGTTCCCTGGAGCGTCTGCAGACTGTCCAAAATGCTGCAGCAAGGCTTCTGACGAAAACATCGAAATACTCACATATAACACCGCTGCTTATACAGTTACACTGGCTCCCTGTCGAATTCAGAGTCCACTTTAAGATTCTGGTTCTCACATTTAAGGCTCTTCAAGAACAAGCACCATCATACATCATTGAACTCTTACAGCCCTATGCCCCTAGTAGGTCTCTGAGGTCTTGTGGTCAGGGCCTACTTGTTATTCAGTATACGAGACTGAAAACTAGGGGTGATCGAGCTTTTGCTACTGTGGCCGCCAGACTGTGGAATTCTCTTCCTCAGAACTTAAGATCTGCTGATTCACTGATTACTTTTAAAAAACAGCTAAAAACACATCTTTTTAAAATTGCATTTTGTTAATTTTTGACTGTACTTCGTCTTTTTAATCTGTGTCTATACCTTGTAAAGCACTTTGTGATCTCTTATCTAGAAATGTGCTATATAAATAAAATTTTACTTACTTACTTACTTACAGGGGGAGGGGGGACTTTCAGTGGGTAACAGGAATATTATATATATTTTAGTGAGGAATTTGAACTAAAATTCTTAAGTACACAATAAAAATAACAAAAAAGACACTAAGAACAAGGAGAACGAGCAGAAAATTGTTACTAAATGATAGATTGAGTTGTGTAATGCTGATCTGTGACCACGAGGGGGCAGCAGAAACCAGCCACTGGAATACAACCTGTGAATGTGATCACCACCACAGGCTTTCCCAAAGACATTACATCACTAGCTGATGTCACTGGGAGCTAATGCTAACATTAAACTAATGCTCAGCAGATGACCATATACTAAACAGTCTTATTCTGAACTGAGAGATCCTTGGCTGCTTTCAGGACGTTTAAATATTTAAGTCATAAGAATATTCCAGGAAATATAATTCACAAATAGGAGCTGTATTTAGCTGTACACTGGAGTTGTACTTGGAGGCACCTTGGCTATGGGTTAAAAAAATAGTTCCTGCAGTGTTGGTTTTTTTTATTTGTTTTTTTTTTTATTAACTGGTCTCTGGATATCACATCTGTAGCAATGTTATACACAAATATAGGGTATATCTTTTATTTATTTTTGCAAATAAATCTTGTTTCTTCATAGTGTTTTCATTTGCCTTTTCTTTGTTGCTTTAAAGAAAAACCTAAAATTTCCACCAACATCTTTTTCTAATCACTTCCTTGATGATAAATTAGATTAAGGAAAGATGTGAAGGAGAATTCAAAACCCTATGTGTTCTTAACATGTTGTTTTATAAATGTTGGAGAACTCTGATAAATAATCTCTACATCCTTCAGTTTATTTTAATGAAACACATTCTCTTTATTTGTGAAGCCACATTACAGAAAGTGCTTCATACAGGAAAAAACTTTATAACAAGCAGATTTGAATAAAGTTTTGGGTTTAAGAAACTGTTACTGAAGCTTTAGTAATTTACATGATGATCAGCTTCACTTGTTGGTTGATCATTTTGTTTGATTGCACATAACTATGGACTGTTGAATGGCATTATCTCCTTTTATACCAGCTCTTATTATGGCTACAGGTACTTCAGGGTCATCAAAGGGTTGTTTTTTTGGCTTTTTTTTTAACCTCTAGCCTGGTTTTCCATTTGTGAGCATTAACTGGGGATGTCGCTAACCAGTGTTTCCGGACCAACCCAGGTCATTGTCTCTCACAGTCAAGTTTAGATGTGTTTTAGTTTATAAGTTGAGGAAATACAGAGATAAGAGCTGCCATCTTTACGAGAAGACGAGAGGAAATGTTTTCATGTCCTCTAAGTCTTTTAGCAAAGCTCTGGATGGCTTTGATCAGCCTTTCAGTGATCGGGGCTGTAAGAAATCCTAAATCCAGGAACCGTGCATCATCTTAGACAGCAGGTCAATAAACTGCTACAGTACAAGTCAACCAGCACACCTCAGCCAGTGTCCACCAGGGTTAGCATTTGGTTTCAGCCACAAGCTAAAAGATTCTCAAACTAGAAGTCTCCTTTCAAATCAAATCTCTCACATGCATTCTGTCATAAAATGCCAATAATGATCTACAGCCTAACCCTGAGCCTGCACTGGTGGACAGCAACCTGAGGGATGGTGAGAGATCAACAGTCCTCACAAAAAGGCGTCCTCACATGTGAGAAATCCACAACATGGTGCCGAGTCAATCAGAAATCGAACGAACTTAAAAAGAGCAACTTGCGTGGCTGAAAATCCACCGACCACAGGTATGGATCCAGGTTAGTTTGTGATATATTTATGAAAACATCAAGAACACATCTCACACATATTTATGAGAATATGAGATCAGGGTCAACTCCAAAAGTTGTAAGTTGGGCCAAGAATACTGCTCATATAAATATTTTTATTAAACCTTAACAAAACTGGTAATACTGATTAAAAAAAAGCAACAACTAGAAAACGGTCTGAACAAACCATAAAACCCCCTCGATGACGGGAGAAATTAAAAGCCACCAAAACCGCTAACACTGACGGAAAAAATAAACTCCAGCTGACCACTCATACTCAAATCTGCCTGTAAATGGTAAATGGCCTGTATTTATATAGCGCTTTACTAGTCCCTAAGGACCCCAAAGCGCTTTACATATCCAGTCATCCACCCATTCACACACACATTC